TCAAGGAGGTGTTAAAATTCTGTACTATGATTATGTTACTGTCAATCTCACCCTTTATGTTGGTCAGTATTTGCTTTATATTTTTATGTGCTTCTGTGTTGGGTGCATAAATGTTTACAAGGGTTATAGCCTCTTCTTGGATGGATTCTTTTATTAATATGTAATGTCCTTCTTTGTCTGTTATTATAGCCATTCTTTAATGTCTGTTTGTAAGTGTTGTTTTTTTTTAATTTTCATTCACATGAAATATCTTTTTCCATCTCTTTACTTTCAGTCTATGTGTTTCCTTTGATCTAAAGTGGGTCTCTTGTATATAGCATATGTTTGGGTCTTGTTTTCTTATTCAGTCGGCTACCCTGTCTTGCTTGAAGCATTTAATCCATTTACAGATTTGGCTTGTAGGGAGGAGGGCTCCACACTGGAACAGTGGTGGCTGTCCCTCCAGCCCTCACCCTGAGGCCACACAACTCAGGCTGTTACTTTATGTCTCTGGCACCTACTGAGCCATCATCTCTTGCTGTAACCCAGGTTGAGTGCCTGTGAGTGAGTGTGTCTGTGCACAGGCTCTTTAAGAGGATACCTGAGTTTCTAGCAGCCCTTTGTCTCATCTGGATGGATGGAATCCCTGCTGATTTTCACAGCCAGATGTTGTGCAGTTTCCTCTTCCTGGCACTTATGCTCTGGGATCATGCGCCTGGTGTGGGGCTGGGACCCCTTACTTCTCAGGGGGAGGGGGAACCTCCTCAGCCAAGTGATAACTCTCAATTTTCAGCTGTCACACCTGGGTTTGGGGCCAGCCCATTTCGCATCTTCCACCCCTCCTACCAATTTTGACGTGGCTTCTTTATATTTTTAGTTATAGCACTTATGTTTAGCTAGTCTTCAGATGTTTCTCTAGGTTGAGTTCTATAATTTAGTTATAATTTTAATGTGGTCATGGGAGGAGGCAGGCACAGTGTTTCTCTATTTCACAATCTTACCCCCTCTTATCTTTTGAAAGTCACCCAGAAACAATAATAAATAGGAACCAGTAGCTTTTTATATGTAAACAATAGCCAATTAGAAGGTAAAAATGAAAGAAAAGTACTTATAATAGTAACAAAAAGGTACAATACCCAGGAAAACACCTAAGAAATATATAAGATATAAACTAGTATTTCTCAGTTTTTCCTAAGCCACCTACATGAGACTATCTGAATTGCATTCTAGTCCTGAAGAATCAAAAATCTGTGAGGGAATGTGCATTTTATAGCAAGTACCCCCACACACTGATTTTCTTCATATTAAGTTTAGAAATCAATATTCTATATTAAAACAATAAATAAAAACCTCAAAAACTCTGTTAAGGTAAGAAAAGAAGACCTTAATGAAAAGCAATACATGTGGAAAGATAAAATGTGATAAAGCTGTCAATTTTCCCAAAATTAAAATGTATAAATATCACATAATTCAATCAAAATTACAAAAGGATATTTTATTACTAAAAGCTAATTCTAAAGTTCATGTGGGAAATAAAAAAAAGAATAGCCAAGAAAATTATGAAACAGAAGTGTAGGGGAGAAAGTCTTCGAGTTTGCTCACTTAGATATTAAAACTTTCTATGGCGCTCTAATAACTAAAAGATTGTGTCACTTGCTCTTGAATCTACAGGTAAGTTTAGAAAATAGAAGAGAAATTCCAAAAGTAGACCTAAATACATACAGGACTTTTATGTATGATGACAAAAATTGATAATACGAAAGGAAAAATGGATAAATCAGCAACCCCAGTGGGAGAATTTAATATAACTCTCTGAATAACTGAGAAAACATGGACACAAAATTAGTAGCACTGTATCAAACTTGATCTAATTGACATATACATAAAAAACACTGCACCTAATGGTGGCAGAATATACATTCTTTTTAAATACACACAGAACATTTACAAAATTGACCATATGCTAGGTGACAAAGCAAGTTCCTTCAAATTTCAAAGAATGAAAACATATAGAGTATGCTCTCTATTGTACAATTAATTTAGAAATCAGTAACAGAAAGATACACTAGAAAGTCATTGTTCCTAAGTTAAAATATATACCACTAATCTAGGAACCCATGGGTGAAAGATGAAATTGCAATAGAAATTAGATAAATTTGTAAACTGAAGAAAAAAATGTACCATATTTTGCCATGTGTAATGTGTTACCATGTATAATGCATACCCACGTTTTTGGCCCAAACTTTCAGGGAAAAAAATCTTTCATTTTAATTTTTAATTCAAATTTTTCATTCGTTTACATTTCATTACTTGTTTTTTGCATTATAAAGGAGTTTTAGCATTTATTTATCACACTTGAAACTTATAAGCATAAATAAGAGAATTAAAAACGTTTATATAGATACGGAATTAGCACTACCCATGTATAATGCACATCCTTATTTTTCCCTCACAAATTTGGGCAAAAATGTGTGCATTACACATGGCAAATACGTTATACCAAAACTTGTATTATTAGGTAGAAGCTGTGCTTCAAGGAATTTATAGTTTAAAATGCATATATTTGAAAAAGAAGCAAGGCTGAATACCAGTCATCTAAATATAAAGTTCAACAGGTTAAGGAAAGAACAACAAATTAAAAACAAAGTCTAAAGAAGGAAGTAATAAACATAGATAAGACTATTGAAGTAGAGTAAAATATAAAATAGAAATCAATAAAGCCCATACTTAGTGTTTTTTTAAAAAAACCCAGAAAACAATAAAATTGATAAATGCCTGGTAAGAATGTTCAAAGAAAAAGAAAGAAGGCAAAAATAACCAAATCATGAATGAACATGAAAACATTAATAGAAATTTCAGAGACATCCAGAGGATAATAGAGAATTCTGTGTCTCGCAGTGGCTGCATAGATTGGTTTAGAACATCCTTTCTTTGAGAGGAACTAGAAAAACTGGTCAAAATCTTCCTTAATAATGCTTATTTGTGTTTTCTGGGAGGTCATTTAATTGAACTATGGATTGGGGTGATTTCAAGCTTCACTTCTATTCTACGAAGAAGGGTCTATTTAAGTTTACCCTTTGTAGCATTTAAGTGTGATTAAACAATATGGTGAATGTTTAAATAAAAAAATAAAAAATAAAAAGAATTATTGTAGTAAAAGACACATTGCCATTAATGTCCCTCAAAATATTTCCCCTCTTTTCGAACACTTATGCCATGATTCTTGCTACTTTCTGAAGCAGTTCTGGAAGTCCTCTTTCATGAGTGTCTGTAGTTGCGCTGTCGTAGCTGCCTCGATGTCCTGAATCATTTTGACTTTGGGGAAGAGCCAGAAGTCACATGGTGCCAGATATGGTGAATAAGGTGGATGAGGACACACTGTAATGTTTTTATTTGACAGAAATTGACGTACCAGAAGTGATGTGTGACACAGAGTTGTCTTGATGGAGGATGATTTATGGTACATTTTAAAACACACTTTCTCTCAGCCATGGCTCACACCTGACTGACTGCATCGGACAAGTTGAAACTTGTCATACGTTGTGACTAAGGTTTGATACACTGCTTCCTGTGTTGAAGATCCCTGCCTTTCTGTTTGATGGCACTCAGCAGCAGCATTCATCATATTTTTTTATCACAATGGAAAGGCTCCGTGTCACACATCGTTTCTGGTACGGCAATTTCTGTGAAATAAAAACATTATAGTGTGTCCTCATCCACCTTATTCACCGGATCTGGCACCGTGCTACTTCTGGCTCTTCCCCAAAGTCAAAATGACCATGAAAGGTAAATGTTTTTAATTGATTCAGGACATAGAGGCAGCTGCGACAGAGCAACTAAAGACACTCATGAAAGAGGACTTCCAGAACTGCTTCAGAAAGTGGCAAGAATGATGGAGTAAGTGTTCAAAGCAAGAGGGAGTATTTTGAGGGGGGAATAATAATAATGTGTCTTTTACTGTATTTTTTTAATTTTAATTTAAACATTCACCATATGTTTTGATTATACCTCATATACTGTCAGTGCCCTGCTAATACCCTTTGGCCTCTATAGTTTCAGTATCAATTTTCAGTTTTTCATATGTACATCTCTATGCCTCAGGCCATTTTTTTTTTTCTGGCACTGCAGAGGGCTGTACTTCTTATGGAAGTTCAGAAGTCCCAAGGAATTAATACTTCATCCTCACCCCAGAAAACACTCAATATGAGTATGGAATTCAGGTGATAGTTATAAGCTGGAAATATAAATTTGAAAATTTTCAGTGTGTAGGCACTGTTTAAAAACATGACAGTGGATTACTTTATCTAGGAAATGGTGTGCTGATGGAGAAGAGGTTCATTAAATTGAGTGCTAGGGAGTGCTGAAATAAAGCGTCTAGTAAGCTGGGAAAAAAACAGGAAAGTATTATATACTAGAAACCAAGTTAAGGAGGTGTAGATTAAACTTTCCACACAGATAATACATCATTAAACAGATAATGTAATTTAAGTCAAGCACTTGTGGGCACAAGGCATTGGGGAATGGACACAAATATAAGACATAGTCCTTTCATTTCATCTATGTAAATAACACACTATGGTACATAATAAATCATATATTAGCTTGGTTCCAATCAGATTGTAGCATAGATAGCTTCCCCTGGTGTTAGTATCAAAGCCAGCATACCTGCTTACCACAGATTCAGAGCTAGAAGGAAGACTTTAATTTTGTTAGAGAATAGAAAATATGGGAATGAAGTGGGGTTACCACTTTCCTTTGAAGTAGGACATCCTCTGAGTGGACATTGCCAAACCTGCCTCAGGCATAGGAATGCTTTTTAGTGTTTTGAGGAAATAGTTACAAAGTTTTGTCAGATTACTTAAAAACAAACAAATATGAGAACAGTTGTATCTGGGTGATGTGGATTTTTAAAAAAACGTGTATCTCTATTCTCCAAGTTTTCTACAGTGAACATGTATAATAAAAATATGTAGATATTTGTTCTAATTTAAGGACATTTTCAACTGAATAATTTTCTGTAGAGAGAAGTTGCAGCGAACAGCCAGAATGGGGAGGAAATTGTTCCTGTTTTGACTTTACGTTTCTTGATAACACAACTGGAAGCAGCACTTAGAAACATTCAAGCTACTAATTATACTGTAAGTGTTTTCTTTTTGAAAGTTTGAAATAATGGACTTGAACAACAATTTTTCAGTGAGAGAACAGCTAATGATGCATGCTTACTTTCATGTGTAGGCTAATTTGTATTTTCGTTTTACCTCTAGAGAAAGGTACACATAAATTGATTTCCTTCATTTGTCTTGGACTTTCTTATGGTTGCATCTCTTTAATGAGCCTATTCTAGTCCCCGTTCCCTACCATAAAATTATTCATCTTAACTAAAGAGAAACTTGAGCTAATAAAAACGGGCTTTCCCAATTAGAAATGGAGAGTCATGAACTTCAAAAACTACTTCCTTTCCCCCTAATTATTAATCAGCTTTTCTTTCTCTTGATATTTCTATATTTGTAAAAATTGGTACTGCTATTATCTGTTATTGAGTAATCATGCAAGATAAAATTGACAAGATGTAATTACACATTCAAGATCAAATGATACTTTAAAAATAAATAGAAAAATCTGAGAAAAAATAAAGCTTGCATCAAAAATTAGAACCAAAAGTATAAAAGAGTGAAAGGAAAAATCAGTTCTTTGAATAATTTGTATCAGTAAACTAAGTTTTGCACCCCCATAGATGATTGATTAAATGGTTATCTTTAAGAAAGGATGACCTAGTCACTAAACAGGGTAGCATAAGACAGTAAATCCCATATTATAATGCTTACAAGCAGGTGGAAAAATAACCCTTATATTTAGGACTCTCAGGGCCAGGGTTCTAAGAGGTAGTATACACCGCCCTGAAGGAGTTCTAGATGGAATCAAAAGAGGGGCAACCAAAATGCGGCAACGTCTGTATGTGTATGATGTTTCTGCCCAGGGCAGCCTATAAGAGACTCAGTGCCCGAGGCTTTTATTGTGGGTTGGTCATGAAGGCACCCTCTGCCTAGCATGTATCAAAATTTCAGATGTCCAAATGAAAATCCCAGGTGTTCAGCATAAATCACAAGGTTTACACAAACAATTTAGGCACAGTGAACCACTCTTGTCAGTCAGAGAACAGGGGAAACACTCCTGAAATCCAGGTTCACAGATAACCAGTAGAGGGGTCAGTCTTGCAAGCAGGTCTTTCTAAGGGTAACAGTCTCAGGCCAGCTATGCTAACTCTTTTACGCACAGGTATGTATAATTCTATGGCATTTTATTACAAGTGTTTGTGTAAGCACCACTGCAATCAAGATAAAAGAACTCTCCCATCACCACAAAAATCTCTCTTATGATACCCCTTTGTAATCACAAGCACCCCTTTTCCTCCTCACTCTCTCTAATTCCTAATCATTTCTCCATCTCTATAATTTGGCATAGACCATTTTTAAAGGAAGGAAGTATTCACGTTTTATTTTTTCATTGAAGAAGTGATAAGCTTTACGTTGATACTGTTATAACAAAACCCACACATGGACAATAAAAGACTTTGATTTAAGAGATCATTGTATTTTTTAAGCTGGATGGTAGATACTTGGGTTGTTCATTATGTTATTACCTGAAGTTTTTTGATACCTGAAATATTATGAAATGAGAGACAGAGAGAGAATTTTTTGAAAGGTTTAATATAACAAATATTGGTGACATTTGCTTTTATTTTCTTTACTCAAACTCTAATGTTTTATTTCAGGATTATTGACTATCCTCTTTTTCTGGGTTATATTATCAAATACATGTAAATGCATTCTCTATAGTTATTATTCAGTGATTGATAATATGATAATTTTTACTATTTTTAATAATTATTAAACAGGCCTAGGATATTTAACTAAGCTTTGCTAAGCTGAAAAGTAGCTTATCTAAATAACCAATTAAAATACATTTTATCTTTTTAGGCACATCAGATTAATATCGGTTATTATTTGACATTACTATTTTTGTACGGTGTAGCACTCACTGAAAGAGGAAAGAAAGAGGTATGTAGCATGTGTTATTTGTCCATTATAAATCTTTTCATATATACTGACCTCATTTTAACAAATTAAAATGTTGATTTTTGAAATTCTCTAAAAATTGAAACCATTAGTCACATATTTATATATAGGGTAATTTCTAATATAGAGTATAATATAATACAGAATATTTTACCAGAGACTATATTGTGAAACTAAAATTATTGATAGGGTAAATATAATTTTAGCTTATAACATTTCTTATTTTATTTATCTTTTAAATGCTTGCCATTTATGTAAAACAGAAAATTGTTTAGCTTATACAATACATTTTAACCCATTTTCTAGTGTAGCTTAATCTTTCTGGTCTTAATCTTATCCCTTTTGTAAAATATGAGTTTTCCCTTAAAGCCTTTGTTGAGTAAATTGAAGTGCAAAAAGTAAAAATCTGGGAGTTAACTAGGTGGTTTCTAAGAGTCCTTTTGAATTTAACATTCTCCTTTTAAATGATTTTTCTTTTTTTTTTTTCGCCGCCTTGATATTTCTTTTACTTTTTTATCTTCTGAAATCTATACTGTCTACTTGGTTTTATGAAGTAAATATATAAATATGTCTTGTTTATTAGGTGAAGTAGAATGTGTAAGAACCAAACTGAAAACATTTTCATTTTAAATAATTTCACGTAATGCTGTTTATTTTTTAGTGTAATGTGGTACAGAATATTTTTAAACAAGCCTGTGCAACTTTTCCCCCCCACCGGGGAGACCAAGCTAAGCCTGTTTTACTAATGATAACTAAAGTATTTATTAGACGTGATCTTTACTTCCAGATCTATGTTGCTTATGATCAGATGATGCTTCCCTCAAAGAGATTATGTTGTGCAGTCAAGAAATCACTTATTTCCTATTTGAAAAATTAGGAAGATTTGTGCTCCAATTAGAAAGAAAAATTAGGAAGAATTATAAAGACATGCTCCTGTAGTCATCAGAAAAGCCCTTATTTTGGCTAATAATATTTGTTAGTTTTAGAAATAACAATTGTTTTAATTCACTTTGAAACATGAGTCAAAGAATATCTTAAGTTCTTTTGTAAATAAATATTTTAAGCACTGAGTACATTATTTATGTGCTCACACACAGAGGTGCTAGGATTAGAGATGTGAATAAATGACCAAATGACTGGCTCATTATCAAAGTTTCCCCAAGTTCTCTAGTTTGGAACATAATTATAAAAGAAAAATAAATGCCTTTTACATCAGCCAAACCTAGTTTTATGTTACTACAGGATTATACAGAAGCTGAGAATAAATTTCTGGTGATGAAAATGGTGATCCAAGAAAATGAAATTTGTGAAAACTTTATGTCTTTAGTTTATTTTGGACGTGGTTTGCTTCGATGTGCTCAGAAGAGGTAAGGATTTTAATTAATGGGTAGATCTTGCCTGTCCACTTTCTACATTGTGAAATGGGAACGAAGTTTCCACAGTATACCAGGGATAATGACACTTGTGGTAGACTGAATTTTTTCTTCTTCACCTATTTTTATAGATAATACTTTCTTTAATGTACTTGAGAACATTAAGCATCAGACTTAACAGGCCGTGATAGTCAGAAGCAGTATGGTGTAGACATAGAAACATAGGCTTTGGCACCTGACAGAAATGGGTTCAAACACATTTTCTACCATGTAACTAATCTATGAGCCAAGGAAACTTAATGTTGCTAAGCTTAATCTCTTTTTTTTTTTGTTATTTGTAAAATGGAACTGATGATAGTGCCCACCTCATAAGCATGTTGCAGGTTATTAACACAGTGCCCAGGACACAAAAATGCTATTCTTAATAAATAAATGATGGTTGTAGTTATTAATATTATTGCCACCACTTGGAATAGGTGTTTAAAGTATAAATGAACTTATAAAGCATCAAGAGTCCAAATGCTGAGTTTTGGAAGTGTTGGGTATTATATATTTAGTGAAATTGTACAGGGAACCTATATAGACTAGCTATGTGTTCACTCCCTAAATGGAGATCCTTTGTCATTTGTAACATTCATTCATTTTATTTGCTCAGCATTTATCATATTCTAGAGACTGTGCTAGATTTGGGGACACAACTGTGTACAAAATAGACGGCCCCTGTTCTCTTGTAACTGGCAGTATTATAGACCTTAATCAAATAATCAGTTATACAAAATTATCAATTATGAAATGTGATAAAGAGTTATGAAGGAAAATGCAATGAATAATAAATGTCTTTATTGGAGCCTCAGCCTGGTTTGGGAATGAGAAGTCTTCCTAAGGACATAATGTTTGGCTGAGTTCTGAAGGATGAATTAGGCAAAGTTTACTTGTGGAAATGTTTATGAGGATTACTGCATGGCCCAACCATTGGATCCCTAAAAACATCACTATGTGATAGTTACCTGATGCTTTGGTTTACCTTCTATCTTTTGTCATGCTTGTTCTTTACTAGGGTATCTAGAAGACGTCTCACTCCTTTTTCACTAGCGTGATGTCATCAGTATAATGGGTCAGTGTGATGTTTTGCAGAATATCAGGATGATCAAAATCCCTTTAGTCTATATTGCGGAGAGAATTTACATATCTCTGAGATAACATAAAGAATGTGCCCTGCTGCATATCTCCCCTCAGATATGTGAACTACTTTTTATTGTCTTTACTCATGGGCATTGTAGAGAAGCCATTTTCCAGATCATTGATACTAGAAAGCTCAATCATATGGCATTGTTTACTTTCATCCCTGACCTAAAGACAACAACCACCACTGAGCTGCTAAAAAGCATCGATGCCTTTCTCACTCTGTTTCTTATTGCATTAATGGATAGGTCTTTCCAGGGAACATTGTCTAGCATTGGGTTCTGTAGTCTTATATATACTAAGTCCTTTCTAACATCCTTACCTCCCTGAGCTTCCTTTTAATACTCTGCCAAGAAATTTCTACCTCAGTTACTAAAGGCCATTGCTGTATCCAAGCTTCAAAAACCTTCTTAGCAGCATGTTAGCACTGGCTTCAGGTATCCTTGCTAGGAAATTAAATCTTGAATTATGGAAGAGTTGTCCCCTGTCAGTATACATTTCTCTACCCAGCTGTATATTTGTCCACTGGCTCAGCAATCTTAAGATCCACTCCTATACGTGTTCCTGCCAGTACATACTAGTCAAGTTCTGTAATTCTTATGGTGAATAAGCTTTTTTCTTCCTGGGCAGGGGCTCTGTGTTCCATTTGGGCTTTGCTTTTACCTGACCCTAGATATGTTGGTCTGTAGGCAAGGAGTGGAAAGGGGAGTATCTTGAGAAAGAAGGGTGTCACCTTTTGACACAGGCACCTCAGGATGATAGTTTTCCATGGTCCCTAAGTAAGGGGGGTCTGCCCTCCTTTAGCAAGGAAGAGGTCTTTGCCAGCCAGAGGGTTCAGGGAAATGTGGGGATTCATTGTTTCTAAGCATAATTACCTAAATGTCCCCATTCTAGATCTCAGAGTCTACTTGTTTCTTACAGAGTCCTGATTTTCACATAATGGTCCTATTGAGCCTGTGCTTTTGGTCTTTGCTGTCGTTCTACTCTTACGATTAAATACTGGGCCTCATTTTCAGCATAGTTTGTCCTTATGCTTAGAGTTGGGGAGGATTCTTTATATGTTACCATAAAGGTCTTTTAGCTTTCATGGAGTATCCTGAGCTGATAGTAGTAGTTCTGTCCAGGCCATGCATTTGGTCTCTTTTACTGTTGGTTGCACCTGGTGATTAAATCTGGGCCTGGTTTTTTAACATAGATTACCTTTATGGCTACAGAAGACGAGGGTCTCTTTAAATGCTGCCATAGAGGCCTCTGTCTTTCACAGTGTGTCCTGAGTCAATAGTTGGCTGACCTGTGCCTGTCATTCTCTTTCTTCAAGGCTTCCAAGACAGTAAACAAAAGCCAAACAACTCTACAGTCCCTTTAATTACCATGGCCCCCATATTGTTCAAGCTTGAGCTACTACATAATCTAGTGTCTCCCCTTCCACCTGTATTCCATCCCAACCTACCACAGGTGAGAGTCCTAGTATTTGTATTTCTATAGCATGCCAGAGGTTATCGCCACTCTACTTGTCACAAAAAAATGGGTTACTTGTTACCATATTTGTAAACTATCTAGTTACAGAGTCACGTTCAAACTAACCTTATTTAAAATGCCTTGCAGATATAATGGAGGACTGCTAGAATTTCATAAAAGCATACAAGAAATAGGAGACACAAATGATCATTGGTTTGACATAGATCCTACAGAAGATGAAGATTTACCTACAACTTTTAAAGTAAGAAATTATTTAAGAGTAACATTTTATCGTGACTAATCAGAATCATCTTTGATATAGTGCAGTTTATGTTAACTGTCATATTTTATAGCAAGTACATTCTTTAATTGGAAATTAGTGTTTTAAATAAGAAACAACCTTGATTCCATTACCTAATACAGAATAGAAGTATGGTTCAACAAGTAGAGGGGTGTGAAGTGATTGTGTAGGCATTTCCAAATAACAAGATTACTAGTCCAGTATTTCACATGGGTAGAGCTAAATGTAATAGTTAACTTCTTTTTTTCCAATTATATTAACCATTATTTTGTTGTTGATTTAAATTTTAAAAGTACTAAATGCTTATTACTTCATAAAACTTAAAAAATATAAAAATGCCCTAAGATAAAATTAAAATTTGTCCATATCATTGTTAGTATTTTTATTTATGTCTTTCCAGACACACACCCTGCTATTGACACTTAGTTTACCCTAAACATTCCAGTTTTTCACTGTTATGTAAAGTGATCTTTGTATATTTCTCACATCATTCCCTTAGGATACAGTTCTAAAGGTGGAGTTGTAAAGCAAGTATTCATACACTTGCAAAGTTGTTGACATATATCTCCATATTTCCTCTCAGAAAGTTTGTGCCAGTTTAGATTCTTAAGACAGTATGAGTGTTTCCATTTTTTCACACCTTCTGGGTATTCTTTACATTTTGGTTAATTTTTACCCATTTGCTAAGTCATAGTGGTCACTTTTTAATTTGTTTAATATGAAAATTAGCTACTCTAGGGTTTTCTTGGTTAGTGTTTGAATGACATATCTCTTTCCAAACTTTTACTTTAAACCTTTCTAGATAGATCCTTATACTTTAGCTGTCTTTAAGGCCAAATACATTCTTCAAAACAAAGAGATATTTCATAAAAATACAAAAATCATTTTTCAAGGAAGCTATAGCAACTCAAAATTTGTATATACCTAATAATATAGGTTCAAAATAGATAGGACAAAACCTGATGGAACTGAAAGGAGAAATAGAAAACTTCCAGTCACAGTAGGTTATTTTAATATGCCTATCTCAGTAATCAATAAAATAAACAGACAATTTTTGGCATTTTTCAGGATAACCATATGACTTTAACTTTGACTTAATAAAGTAATAATTTTATGTATATATTTTTAAATATTGAATATCTGTGTTTACTTAAAGCAGTCCTTACTCTGTCTTGGTTGTTTTTCTCTTTTTCCTCCTTTTATTTTTCTTCATTATCCAAACTTCTTTTTTAGTGAAATTATATTTCATGCAAAGTAATACATGTATGCAGTTTGTCAAATAATATTAAAAGGCTTACAAATTAACAATGTGTATTCCATCATCTCTAATTATAGTTCCTAAGTAGAGGCAACTTTTCCCTACTCTGTAGGAATTTTTCTTTGATATTTACCTATATTTTTGTAAAAGATATACTGCTATTTTAAAAATCTCACCATTTTAGATACTGTCTTCGGACGTCCCACTGTGGAAGACGAGGGTTTAGTAGCTCTCTTACACATTCCCTTCACACACCCGTTTCCCTTCCCCTGTCCTACGAATAGCTGTATGTTTTTATTGGCCATGGGGTTTCCTGTTATTTTTGGGAACATCTTTCACCTCTTTCCTGTGTAGAATCCTGTGTTTCTTGGATCTCAGGTTTTCCTCTTTCTAGCTTTACTTCCTTGTTTTAGTGGTATAACTCATCCAGCAGCTTCCTAGAAAAGGGTGCTTGCTTGGAGGTAAATTTTTTGAGATGTTTCAAATCTCAAATTAATTTATCCTTTTGATACTTGTTTATATCTTGCCTGGGCATAGAATTGTAGCTTGAAAATCATTTCCCCTCCTTTTTAAAAGTGTGTTTCTATTGTCTTCTAGCTTCTAGTTATACTTCTGAGAAATCTAGTGTCATTCTGATTCTCAGTCTTTTGCTTTTAACCTGTTTTATTTTATTTTATTTTTTTCTGGGAGTTTTTAGGATAGTCTGTGCATCCCTGGTATTCTGGACTTATGGTTTTTCGGTTCTGGGACATTTTCTTTATTTGTGTAATGATTTCATTTTCTCTTTTCTATCTAAAATGTTTATTAATCAGATGGTTGACATCATGGACTGAATCTCTGATTTTATTTTATTTTTTCTCTTTTAAAAAAATTTTTTGTCTTTTTGTTCTGCTTTCTAGGAGATTTTCTCATCTTTCTGCATAGGGCTGATATTCAGCCAGTACGCACTTGTGCTATTATAATGTTAAAATGTTTCTATATCGTTTCTAAAATAGTTGCTTCCACGAGTAGTTTCTTGAGTACCCAGCCACCATTCCAGGTGCCCTGGACTGTCAGCCAGCCTTCTTCACACCATATGTCTCTAAAATCCAATAAATAAAGGTTTGATGTCTGATAGAGCAAAATTCTTCTATGATCCTACTTTGGCTCTAGGCCAGTATGTTCTCAATCTGTTATGATTGGTACCTGTGCCTGTCAGTCCCCAAAAGCCTTATTTCCCAGACATTGTGATTAGCTTTTTTTAGAGAGCCTAGAGCAGCGGTTCTCAACCTTTCACAGGGGTCGCCTAAGATCATCGGAAAACACGTATTTTCGATGGTCTTAGGAACCGAGACACCGCTCCTCTATCCGTCTCCAGGCCCACATGCAGATACACCCACATACGAGTACCCGGCGACCCCTATGAAAGGGTCGTTCGACCGCCAAAGGAGTCGCGCCCCACAGGTTGAGAACTGCTGGCCTAGAGGGTTTTCTCCTATATGCCTTTATTCGACACTGAGGAATTCCAGGTGAATATCACCAGAGCCTTGCTCTGCCCAAAATGCTTCTATCTTCATGTGTCTCCTTAAATGAACTCACCCTGATAGGGGAAGATAGTACAGTACCCCTAGAGATGCTGGCACCCTAGTAGAGCAATGTCCTTTTATATGGTTATTATTTTTAACATTACCCTTGTTCCTATCTTTCTTTTGAATTTTTAATTTTAATGGTTATTTTAGCTATTATCTACCAAGAGTTTTTTTGTTGTTGTTATGAATGTTCCTTTATTTTTTAAAATAACATCCTTTCTTTTCTCAAGAATAGATAGTATATTAGAGGTAAATGTTAGCCAGATCACGGAAGGCCTTATAAGCCACATAAGGGACTTAGGTTCAATCTTAGGTTAATGTGTAATCCCTGAAGACTTTTAAACAATGGGATATATAATCAAATTATAATAAATTTATGAATTATAGAATTTAGGACTTTGAGTAGTTTCTGTATTTAGGATAAGGAAGGAGTTAAGAAAGTTAAAAAACTAATAAAATAGTTACCAATTGGAGTTAGTGTTCTAAAGAAAAACAAGGGGCTAGGACAGAGAAAATAGAGAACACACATAGACTCATTCATAAACCTACATATATCATTATATATCTGTTTGTGTATATGCATAAATGTGTGTGTCATGGTTTGGAAGATCCTCTCTGGGAGGTGATATTTAAGCTGGAATCAGAAGGTTGAGAATGGAACTAGCTCTTAAAGAGTAGGAGGAAGAGTACTCTAGGTAAGTGGAATAGAGTATGAAAAGGCCCTTTTAGGCCTTGAAGAGCAAGTTTGAGGAATTAAAAAAATAAAACTGTGAATTTTATAGTAAGTGAGGCTAGAGATGAATTTGAAGAGATGAACCAGAGATGGGTAGATATAGTAGGTTCAAGTACTTCCTGATTTATTGCGTGTAAAGAATGATAGAATCCATTATACAATGGATGACTTCAAGATTTTTGGCTTAAAGCTGACTAGATAGCGGTAGATGAGATTGATATAAGTCCCATGAGGGCTAAGTATTAGCCTGTTAAGCTCACTGCTGTATCCTTCATATCCCTTAAGATTTATAACACCCTGGCCCACAGTCATTCAGTAAATATTTGTTTAATGCATGCCAAAGATTGGGGGCAAGAGATAGGAACAAGCAACAAGGAACAGGTTTGGTGGGAGAATCAACAGATGAGTATTGAACTGTTAATTTTGAGATCTGTGAAACTGCAGTAGTTAAATACACACTACGAGTCCTAGTCTTTTGTTTTTGGCATCTCCACTTGGCTGTTGGCTATCCTGACAGGATATACTACCTTCATGCTGATAGGTCCTTGAATGCTTACTTCTCCTTTCATTATTACCTTGATATTTGCTCAATTTCAATTCTGAGTGCCACTGAAATCATGTTATGAATGGTGACTAGATTCATGAAATAGTCTATAGAAGTTTATCTATCATGTCATATACCTTCAGTACGTTAGAAATAATACTATTTGAAATTTTATAAAACTACCTATCTAAGGGATAAGTATTAAGAACCTGGTCAGAGCACCTATTTGACTTAGACTTGATAATGTGTTTCACCAGCATTTAATCAGCATTTTAAAATTCAGGAAATTGCATTCCAACTTGTCACTCAACATTGGAAACCTATTTCTTTACCTACTTCTTCTCATTATGACAATAAGTGACATATTGCACCACTGCAGTAGTTCCAACTGCCAACATGAGGTCTTGGGGGCCATTTCTAGCAAAGACTCTGTTGGGCTTCTAGTGATTTCTTGCCTCTCTATATATACAACAGATATCAAAGCAAGTAATTCTTGATAGGAACATGCCAGGTGCTATGCTTTAAGTTAGGATGGTGACTTTTCCCCTTTCTCCATGTTTATATTCAATAAGAAATCCAGTATTTCTATTTTAGGGCCTTCCTATATATTGTTTACTTTTTTTTTTTTTAAAATTTTTTTATTGGGGAATTGGGGGGATGGGAACAGTGCTGGGGAATTGCGGGAAGGGGAACAGACAAGTTGCTGTCGTTTTGTTCTTCAGTCTAGTTGTGGAGGACGTTGCTTCACTGGCTCAAGTTGGTACCATCATTGTGCTCTTCCCGGGCGAGGCAGATCAGTCGCCGGCTTCTGGATGGCCGCTCACTGTGGCTGCTGGCCGCTCACGCTGGCTGCTGTCTACACACGGTAGCCCATGGCAACCCACTGCCACAGGGGCTGCAGCCTACGCCGTCGCCGGCAACTCATAGCAGCCCAGCTCCAGGTTCAGCATCTTTGCTGTGGAGGGCAGTGTCACTGTCCCTCATATGTGGGATCTGAACCGGGGCCCTCAGGCATCCCAAGCCAGCTCTTAACCATCTCACCACTCAGCCGGCCCTATATTGTTTACTTTGAATGAGGGAAATACATTTTATTACTATTTTATACATACAATGCCTTCAAAAAGTAGTATGAAATGATGTATTACTTAAATTACTTAAAATTATGTAAGATAAAATATTGGAAGTGTTGCAGTCTTATTACTGATTGCTGAGATTACTAATTCCTGAGATTTATTTTTATTTTTGAAATCTAGGATCTTCTTAATAATTTTATCAAGACAACTGAAAGTAATATAATGAAGCAGACCATTTGCAGTTATCTAGATTGTGAGCGATCTTGTGAAGCTGACATTTTAAAGAACACCAATTATAAGGTACTACAATTATCAATTAACTGAGTATTTTCTAAAATGTAATTATAAAATTAAACTTAGATAAAAATCATTATTGTCATGCATCAAAATAGTGTTTAAAAAAAGCACTTAGTTTAATTATAGTTCAGAAATTGTTTGAGTATCTCTGAGAACTTAGAATAATAGTGAGCTGGAATTACTTATATTCTGTGAGTCAATAAAAGATTGAATTTGTTTTGCTAAGGTTTTTGTAATAGTCATATGTCTCTGAAGTTATACTTCATATCCCTGCCATCATACAATGGAAATTATCTAAAATATTCTTTGTAGTTAGGAAAGTTATTTTATATTTATTTATTTAAAATGCATTTTACTAAGGGAAAAAGTTGTCATTCCTCAAGAATTATGTTACTAAGTTAGTAATCATTATCTCTTCTATGGGCCTGGGGGAGAAAAAGAAAACATAGCTAGCCTTGAGTTGAAGAAATTCCACAGAATACTTCAAGTCTGGTTTTCACTGGATCTATCAGAAGAAGACTGTAGGGAATCACAAAATAGGATGATATGTGACTATCAGCGCAAATCTGACATCACCTCTATAAAATAATGGAAATCTCAGTTGAAAGGCATGGACATCCTGGAACAAAGCATGTAGCATATGGGGGAGGGAGAGGGCTGCCTGGAAAACACCCTTCTGTGGGAATGACGGCAGGGAAGGTTTTTATGTGCTTTCTTGTTTTTGTAAAAAGGAAAAGAAAACTCAGAGGGACTGAAAGAATACATTTTATATCTGGATTACAAATAAAAATGGCTATTACAATGGGAAAATAAAAAAGAAAGATGTGATATGTACAGCAAATGGGGTAGGTAGGGAGGAGGAGAAAGCCAAGATATATTCATTAGGGTAAATCAGAAATTGGGAGGTGGGCCTGGTGAAGTTCAGTCTTGGTTTGGGTGACATGGTGATGATGGTTATGCTTTCCCAGGGAGGGATGACGGTTCCAATCACATGGACAGTATGTAGCAGCAGGAATCCTAGCCACAAAATTTAGATTTTTGTCATCTAAGCAGTCTACCTATTAAAAGGAAACAGAGCTGTAGTTCCCAGGGAGGGCACACTGGGAAGGACAAGAAGCTTGTAAAGTTAAAAGTGGTTTAAGGTAGTATTTTCTCTATTGACGGAATTCCTATTTCTATGTCAACAGCTTACTTTGCACTCTTTTCCAGGGATTTTTTCAGTTAATGTGCTGTAAAAGCTGCTGTGTTTATTTCCACAAAATTTGTTGGAAAAAGTTCAAGAATTTAAAATATCCGGGTGAACATGATCAGGTATTTTATTTGTTTTACCTTCAAAACTTTACTACAGCATTTCTTTCTCTACCCTTTTCCCTTTTTTCCTCTTTCCCCTTCATTTCATCTGTTCACACCCTTCCTCCTCTATTTTTCTCCCTTTATTTTTCTTTCCCTATTCTTTGATCTTTACCCTCAATATTCTTGTTCATCACCACCAGTTATTAAACAGATCTGTGTAGGGGATACTCCACTGGTTGCTTTGCTTAGTGATTTCTATCAACGTGTTCCTTTCCCTATAGAAGTTTATAATCTTAAGACTAGAAATAGTGGCCTTCATTTCAAATGCGTAAAAGAAGCTGCAAAACTGTTATTCTCTGGGAGCATTTGAGAACTTGCTTCCCAGCATATGTTGTCAGTGTGGCTCGAATAAACTCATAAATTTTTTTTAAAAAGAATAGAATTATTGTTGCATATATTCATACTAAGATTAGAATTGCTAATTAAACAAATAGTAATGACAATCATACAATTTTAAGGATAGTTTCTATTTTAAGGGTAGAGAACAATGGCAAATTTTATAGTCTTCAAAAATCTATTTGTAATTACTTATATTTTCCTAATGTCATACTACTAAACTGAATTCTTTGCCACTAAAATTAAAGTAAAAATCCAAAGCCCAATTCTATATTAATTACTCTTTAGTAAGCTAGTGACCATAAGTTGGGCCTAGAGTGCTTGGTTTTAGAGTATTTACATTGTGCAAACAGGAAACCCTAATAAAGCTATTGTGGTGTAGTCGATCGAGCATTGGATATGGAGTTGGGAAATCTGGGTTCAAGTCCAGATTAAACCACTTACTAGTTTTTTTACATTAGGCTGGTAATTTAACTTCTCTGAGACTTATTTTTCTAAATGAGGATAGTAATACCTTCTTCATAAGGTTGTTATGAAGATTAACAGATAAAACAGATGAATTTGCATTGTTTTATATTGTGAAAATCATTGTATAAAGATTATTCATTTGTTTAAGCAGTGTGTACTTTTTACTTTTTTTGACTGTAATCAATATTGCTCAACTTTAGAAAGAGAAGTAAAAGAAAACTAAGTAACTTAAGAAGAAATAAGGTCATAAACAGAGAAAGGACTTAACATTTTTATTCGTTCCTTTTCCCTGGAATCCTCATGTGTCTGACAGAAATTCAGTATTCCTTTTTATGCTTAGTTAAGTAGAACATTTTACTTGAAGTTTCTTTCCCCATGGACAACGGCCACATGTTAGGCTGTAATATAACTGCATGCAAATTTTGAAGTAGAAATGAGGAGAAAGAAAAGTGTGATCATGCAATTTAAATAGGAAATTTATTGATGCATGAGATGGACTACCCTTGAACAGCTAACTCTCAAGTGTTTATTTACATCTTTTATTTTACCATCTAGTAATGTCTCCTTCTACCTTTATTTAAGTATAGTCAGATTTGCACATCAGTATCTTTTTTTTTTCAATTTTTTGTTTGTATTATTTTTTCTTATGATAATTTGTTTTTTTCTATTGATAACTTAGAGTTTTAGTGGAAAAAAATGTTTGAAGGAAGGATGTACAGGTGACATGGTAAGGATGCTACAATGTGATGTACCTGGAATTGTTAAAATCTTGGTGAGTATCTTTTTCTTATTTTTCTTGCTTTCTTTTACTGGAATGGTATTTTCCACTTCAAACACATTTGGGAATCATAATAATAGTATTCTAGCTAATTCTCCTTGATGGTGACTAAATTCTCTGACCTGTCTATTGCTTTGATTTCTCTAAAGTGGTATTTAAGTGGTCCTTAAGAATAGGAAAATTGAAAAAATAAAGACACATGAGCACATGTACACGTGTGTGCATGCACACACACACACACACACACACACACACACACACAGAAAAAGAGAGAGAGGGAGAGAGAGAAACAGACAAAGCAGCCCATAGCTATACCAATGAGAAAAATCTGTCATGAACCAAGGATGATAATTAATTCTATGCCACTGAAGGTTAAAAATACTTCTAGACTTTCTGAACCTTTTTCAGTCTGTAAGCACCTCCCTATGAAAATATCTGTGGAAATCACATATAGTACCTGTTATATAAAATGTACTCAAATGGTATCCATTTTTTAAATTAATGAACTAGTTTGTTGAATTTTCATTTTATAAGTAAATAGACCAAAATTATGAGTAGAAATATATATTATTTCTTACTTTATCTTTAGTTACACTCTTTGTATTTCAGATTTGGCATTTAAATCCTATGGTGATGTAAAGTAGAACTGCTTTTTAAGATCAGTTCTAGTTTGTTGTTTTATTAGGATTGTTTATGGCTCGCCTTGTTACTTCTGTTTTATTCATTTTATATTCGATATAGCTTCATTCTCATTGTGTTTTTACAAACATTAAGGCTAAGAAGTAGCATTAAAGAATTTTGAAAATTGAACTGCTTTAGGGCTATTTTTTTCCATCACTTGCAGTTTGAAGTTGTGAGAAAAGATGAATATATAACCATCGAAAATTTAGGAGCAAGGTAAGCTTGAAATAAAATATTCTACTTTTTTACTGAGCATGTATATATTTTTCAGTTGCTTCTTCTGTGTTTTTGTCATTTGTTGGAGCACCATTAAATTTAAACTTAGTATTTTGGGAAAAAAAATTGTATTTAATCGACATTTGTCTCCCTTTCTCTCTCTATTTTGTAACATTTAAATTCTAAAGCAGGAAAGGAGAAATTATGTTAACACTTTTCCTGTAAGTGTGAAAATAGTTTTTTCCTGAAAGTCAAACATATTTTTGTTAAAGTTATTCAAATTAAGTTATGATATAAAAACTTTTCCCTAACTTTTAAAACTCATTCAGGCCTCTAAGCTTGTCTGAATCATTGTCCTATTGCTAAGACGAGAAAACTTTATTGCAGAGGAATATATAGTATAAGCTGGGAATTCATAGAGGTGTAAAGTGTTGCTATTGAAATTAGAAATTTCATTATAATAATTTCTCCTAACCCATTGATTCTCTTTTCTTTTGTTTAAAGTATAAATGTCTACCATTTTTCTGTCTCTCAGGGACATTGCACCAATATCTAAGGCATTAGGTTTTCCTTAGGAGCTAATGAAAGCCAAATCTTTATCTCTAGCATAGATCTCACTCCTAAAATCTACATCTATCTACCTGCATGTTGAATATCTCCACTTTTATTTTTCAAAAACATCTATAGTTCAGCATGCCTGCAACTAGACTTGCAATCTTTCTTCCCAACACCTCTCTGTAACATTTTTTAAGCCCACTCAATTCGACTTTTTAAATATACTGTAAATGGCTCTTTACTTCTGCCTCTGCACATCCACTCATGTAAATGAAGTTCTTATTTCTCACTTGGAATTCTGAAACAGTTCCTAAACTGGTCTTTCTGTCCCTAGCCTTACCTTTCTCCAGTCTGTTGTTTACATAGCCATCAAGAGCACTTTTTTGAAATGAAAATTGAAATATGTCCCTTACTGCTTGAAAATCTTTCAGAGGTTTCTCAATTGCTCTTAATTAAGTTCAGACTCCTTAGCTTGGCTCTGAATTCGTCTCAGTCCCTGCTAAGCTCACTAATGTCATCTCTTGTCATTTTTTTCTTACTATATATGCACCAATTGCACTAGGCTTCATTTAGTTCTTGACCGTGCCATCCATTTTACCCCGAGGCCCTGCCTAGAATATTCTGTTCCTTTGGCTTTGCCTGGTTAAAGCTTCTGGAAAGCCTTCCTTGCGTTAGATTAGGTGTGTCTATCACGTATTCCCTCTACTTCTGCTATTAAAACATTTACTGTTTTATTATACTTTCTTGGAATCTTCTTCAAACACTATAACCTCCCTGAGAGCAAGAACTTTATCTTGCTTCCTAGTATACTCCCAGTACATAGCATAATACCTGGTATATAGCAGGTACCGAATAAATACAGGACAGATGTAGAGGTTCTGAATTTCATTATTTTGCAATGGCTATGTTACTTTTGTTTAGACAGGCAGTTAACTTGGTTGGATATGAACTGTGAACTCTTTTTGTGGTTGGTGGTTCTGGTCTCATTTCAGATCTTTTGCCTTAGCCGAGCTGCTTTGAGTCTATTCTGTACATGTGTGGTTTAGCAGTCAGTTAGAGATTGGACTAGAAAAAATTTGGGGATCTCTTCTCTGACTCTTTTCCTTCTGAAATCCCCCCCCTTTCTTCAGCAGCCATGGTTCCCTGGCTTCAATTTTCTGGTTCCTTCAGCCAAGGAGACCTTTGTTTTCCACCAGGTTGTACTTTGCCTCAGGCTAAAAGCTCTAATATTGGTGAACTTAAAAAACTTATTTTATACAATCCTTTCCACTGAGCGTGTACCCACCCCCATCAGAGTGGTCTGTTTCTTCCTCACTACAGTCTTTTCAGGGAATTGCTTTTTCTAATTTTCCTAAGTTTTATAATTGTTATCTGTGGGGACTCCTCTGGTAACTGGATCTTATTACCAAAAGTGGAAGAGCTACTTCATGGGGTTTTATGAATGAATTACAAAATGTTTAGTGATTTTTTTTTATACTTTAAAATGATTTATTATTATTAAAATATACATAAACAAAAGCTCACAAAATATAAATGCAGAATTTAACAAATAATTATAAAGCAAACTCTTGTGGCCCCACCCAAGTCAACAAATAGAATGTATGCCACCACTCTCCCCCAGCTTCGTTTCTCCCTAGGTACCTTTTATCCTGGCCTCCGTAGGAACGATTTCCTTACTATTCTTTATAAAGGTACTAAGTATAAATGCATTTTTAAGCACTGAAGTTTTGTAGAGGTCAGATTTTTCAAGCTGTAATTTATATACACTAAAATTCACTCTTTTAAAATATACATTTAAATGAATTTCTTTGTATGCAGTTGGGTAACTACTACCATGATCAAGATGCAGAATATTTCCATTCTCCCAAGTTTCCTCCAAAATTTTTTTTGTAGTCATTCCCCTCCCTCCACCATCAAACCTTGGTAACTACTGATACGATTTTTGTCTTGATAATCCTGAAAAAACCCTGATGCTTTCCCCTGATTGTCCTATATAGTAGGAAACCCCTTTGTATCTGGATTTTTTTCACTTAGCATAATGCCTTTGAGACCCATCCATGTTATTGCATGTATCAGTAGTTCATTTTTGTTTGTTGCTGAGTAGTCTTCCATTGTATAGATATACCGTAATGTATTTATTCATTTAGCAGTTGATGACACTTGAGTTGTTTCTGGTTTTTTTACTGTTATGAATAAAGCTATAAATAGTCATGTGTTACTCTGTGAAGCATATGCATTCATTTCTTTTGGGTAAATTCCTAGGAGCAGAATTGCTGAGTCATATGGTGTGTATTTAATATTATAAGAAACTGCCAAACTGTTTTCAAAATAGTTGTACATTTTATCATTTTTGCCAGCAATATAGGAGAATTCTAATTTCTCTGCATCTTGTCCAGTACTTGGTATTGTCAATTTAAAAAATTTCAGCCTTGTTAATAGATTTGTAATGGTATCTTATTATGGTTTTAATTTGCACTTGCCTTATGACTAATGTAATTGAATATCTTTTCATGTATTTATGTGCTTCCTATATACCGTCTTTGGTGAATTATCTGTTTAAATATTTTGTCCATTGTTTTCATTGGATTGCTTGTCTTATTTTTGAGTTGAAAGGTGTCTTTATGTATTCTGGATACAAAGTCTTTATCTAACATATATGTTTAAAATATTTTATCCCAGTCAGTGGCTTCTCTTCTTTTTGTTTTGTAAAATATATCTTTCAAAAAGCAGGAATTCTTAATTTTGATGAAGTCTAATTTATCTTTTATGTTTCATGCTTTTTGTGTTTTACTTAAGAAACTTTATCTGACTCAAAAATCACAAAGATTTCCTCTTGTATTCTCTCTAACAGTTTTTATAGTTTTAGGTTTTACATTTAGGTTTATAATCCATTTTGGGTTATTTTGCTATGGTGTAACATTAGTTTTGATGTGGTCCTACTTGTTTATTTTTGCATTTGTTGCTTGTGCTTTTGGTGTCAAATCCAAAAGATTGTTGCCAAGTCCAGTGTAAAGGTAATGTTGGTTTTCTTGTGCTGCTTTCAAAGTTCTGTCTTTGTTTTTTGTCAATTTAATTATAATGTGTCTTGTATAGTCTTTTTTGGGTTCAAACAGTTTGTAGTGCTCTCAGCTTCATGAATCTTGAAGTTCATTTCTCAACCCTAGTTTGGTAAAGGGACTTTATTTTTTTAAATAGGTGTTCTGTCCCTTTCTCTTCTTCTTCCCTTTCTGGGATTCCCATATGCATGTATTGTTTCTTTTGTTGTTGTCCCATCAGTCCTATAAGTTTTCTTCACCCTTTTTCATTCTTGGTTCTTTTTGCTCCTCTGACTAGGTAATTTCAAATAATCTGCCTTTGAGTTAATTGATTCTTTCTTTTCTTCGGCTGAGTTTGTTGTTGAAGCTTTCTGTTGAATTCTTCATTTCAGTTAGTGATTCTTCAGCGCTAGGATTTCTGCTTTTTTTTTCCTATTTTTTTTTTTGTTGAACTTATTTTGTTCATGCATTGTTTTCCCAATTTGATTTAGTTGTCTGTGTGTTCCTGTAGTTCACTAAACTTCTTTAAGAGGATTATTCTAAATTCTTTGTTAGCTAGTTCATATCTCCATTTCTTTAGGGCAACTTAGAGGTTTATTAGTTTCTTTTGGTGGTGTCATGTTACTTGGTTCTTTATGACCTTTGTATCCATTCATTAGTATCTGTGCATTTGAGTGTGTGGTCTCATCTAACAAACTTTACAGATTTGGTTTGGCAGGGAAAATCCTTCACCAATCAGCTCAGGTCGGGGTACTGGATGAGTTAGCTGGTAGTGTCTATAGACAGGTGGACTTCCTATTAGATTCTCTAATAGTTATATGAAGCCACAATCTGTGCTCTGAGGTTGGGGGTGGGGTCTTGTTGACTGGGCTCCATGTTCAAGTAGGGCTGCTGGGTGGGCACCATGGTCAGGTGGGGCTGGTGGCTATGTTCCACAGTTAGGTAAGACCACCAGCTATGCTCTGCAATCACCTCTGGTCAGGCAGGTTCACAGACTTTGATCCTTGGCAGAGTATTGCCACTGGTTGGATTCTGTGACTGGGCAGGGCTGTAGGCCATAGTCCGCAATTGCTTCTGGCAGGATAGGGCTTCAGGCTGTACCCCCTGACCGATGGTACCACTGCTAGATTTCACATTCAGGTGAGGCACAGGCCAGGCTTCACGGTCAGATGGGGTCTCAGGCTGTGCTCTGAGATCAGGTAGGGTAATAGGCTGTACTTCGCAATAAGATAGGCTGTTAGCTGTGCTCTGCTATTGGGTAAGGTTACTGGCTAGGGTGATTCTTGCTAAATTTGCACTCTTGAAGGCATGAACAAGTGTGGGGCATAGCTGAAAAAAAGCTCAGAGGAGCCTGCCTAGAGTTTGGTCAAGGAGAGAATGTTTATCACTGGACAATTTTCTAATACGTTTAAAGGAATTCTGCCCTAGATTCCTAAGGGAAATTGATTCACAGTTTTCTTTTTGTCCCATCTTTCTCTAGACTTAATATTAGGGTAATGCTGGCCTCCCAAAATGAGTTTGAAAATGTTTTCACTGACATGTGGTCAAAGAGTTGCTGAGAATTGGTACTATCTCTTTTATAAATGTTTTAAACATTCACCAGAGAAACCATTTGGAACTAGAATTTTTGTTGTCGGTTTAAGTG